ACGATTAAAATGTTTTCTGGTGTGTAACAAATGTTCGTGAAGCGATGTATGATTCTATCATGTATCTGAATTTTCGAGGCTCGTGGATTACGTAAATCAAATATGCAATTAATAAGTGTCTTCGTTACATCCACATGCCATGTTTTAAATTAAATGGACTGTTTTAAAATTCGATTTTTCTTCTCTCTAATCTTCAACTTTCCTATTTATTTTTATTTCTCAATCCGCCAATCTTCTATTTTTCCAAATCTTTCAATTACTTTACCCCATTGACATTGTGATATCTTAAGTTAATTTCCACTGTGAGCAAATATATTTTGTTCGAAGGAGGTCAATTTAATTTAATTTTTAATTCTTTAGTTAAGGAGTTAATTCTTTTACTGTTTTAAGCTTCCAAAAAATTTTAGACTACTTAATGAAGTCTTCATTATGTATTCTGCAGCTATTATTTGTACTACAGTTTTTAAGCACTATTAGTAGGCATTACAGTTTTATACTGCTAGTTTTCAAGTGAAATCTTTAAAAGGTGTCTCAGATAGAACAAAAATTCACGAATGAAACTCGAGTTCGGTCAAATTGCTAATTGTTAATATCCTAACTTTCGTCAATCGTTCCTTAAAAATTCACCCAGTTAACGTTTACGCAGTTAACGTAAAGAAAGGAAGAAAGAAAAAGAAGAAAGAAGTGAAAGAGATCTCGCAACGGAACGTAGTCGAACGTGAAACGGAGAAACAGGAGCGAATTACATTACATGCCGAACGCAGAAATAATGTATAACTTTAGAAATATTCGGCGAAACAGAACAGAATGAAAGCGAAAGGTGGCAAAAATCCTCTGTCCTGTTAAACGCTAGGAACGCCGTAGTCTGCCGGGCGTAAAAGAGAAGGAGCACCCGTTATATAACGGGACTGTACCGCGTCCTGCAGTGAATGCACGCGTTTGATGGTGCGTACCGGTCGATTACGCAATCGGTAGCATAACAAGGGTAGCGTGGCATATTCGGTATGGATGTAGCTGCTGGAAGATGTAATGTCAAAGAATTTCCTCGTGCATGCGCGTGGAAAGTGAACGATGAGAAAAATAAATGGTTTTTGCTGCGTTAGTGGTGGAAGGATCTAGGACTAGACTGGATAGAATCGTTACAGTCTGTTACTCATTTTAGGTAACGAGGAGTATTGTAAGTATCTGCCCTCTATTCGAAATACTTTTATTCAACGATTGTAGATTAATTGGTATTTGATTTGCAGTAATAGTTCGTGACTCGTGTTAATTAATGCCTGTTGGAGTAATTACCGATTTCTTAAGTTTACGAGACGGTGTTCTTGTTCCAAGGAGAACACGAACGAAACAAGAAAATTGAAATCTACAGTGAGGATTCAGAAGTGGCGGCAGAATTTTCAGAAAATTGCTTTTACAGCGATGAAGTACATTGCAAATTCAACAAACAAATAAACATCAATCTTCCACGTTAATTTGACACTGCTGTCTCTTACATAAGAAGAACCAAAACCAAAGAAAACCGTCGGCTGATTATATATTGCATAATGGCCTGCAAACAATGATCAAACAAGCATCACACGGATATTGACAATACGTTGCAAGTTTTTCCAGAATTCTCTCCGTCGTGTTGCGTCACACTAAATAGACACATTAGGCGAACTAATTCCTCTCCCCATTTTCCCTTTCATTCTTCTCCACTTTCTCAACCCTGTGAACAGACAAAACGCGATCTCACCGGCTGTTTACTACCGTTTTCACGTTCGGCTCTAAATGGATCCGTTCACCTGGTTGTTTGCGTTGAAACAGCCTTTGGTTTACAATCGCTTATAAGGCCCTGCCCCGCCGGCGTCAGAAGGAAATCCGCGATCGTGCCGAACCGCGGAACGATTGTCTGGTCAGGCATATGGATATTCGTAGAGATAGTCCTGCAACGTGTCCTCCACGTGGATTGTTAATAGGAGAGAGAGATAGGAAGCCGCACCCACATTACAGTTTTCTTCTTTTTCCTTTTTCTTTTTTCTCTTTTTTTCTTCACATCAGCTGTGGGAAACCTGTGGCCACCGATCCGCGGACAGGATTGCAATCGTTGCACGTGATCTCGTTACGTCAGGGGAATGCGAGTCGATGAAATCCTCCGAGGAAGAGTTTAATATGTAAAAAGAGAGTCGCTCGACTGGCTTACTTGAATTGCATTCACTCGGCAGACTGTGAATTTTTCATACGCTCGCGAGAAATTTAATCGCCAGAATACGAAAAACGTGATTGATGGGACTGCTAAAGAGAAAGACTGCTAAAAAAAATCTTTTTAATATACTACTGTTAATTTATTTTTTTATTTATTTATTATGATCCTTGCCTAGGCGGCTTAGGACGGCTTTCACATCTTTCTTTCTTAAAAAAACAACTTTTTAATATACTACAGACTACACGTAAAGTTGCAAATGTGGCTGATTTTTCTTTCTCATAAAAGCGTCAAACAATGTGATTGTTATTGGCATAGTGGTATCGTTAAGATATATAAAATACGATGACGAAAGAGCAGAAAACGAGTAACTTCGTTATGCTCTCGTGAAGTCATCTGCAAAGTTGGCAATGCAAAATGAGTGCAGGAACAATGTTTTATTGTTGACATCATAGATCCGTATAGCTTCTCTAAAACGTCCACTTTCTAAGCCTCGATTACTCTTAACCGTAGACAGAAAGAAACTTTTCGCAATAGCAAGCGGAGAAAACTCGCGGTATATTTCTTTTTGAATCAGGAAAACGTTCCTATTGTTTCGCTAACTGACGTTGAAATTATTATTACGTAATGTGGATTAATCAAGTCACATCTCACGACCAGTCTATCATTAACGCTTGTGTAATTCAATTAATCGTTTTGTGAAACAGTTCTACCGCCTTATTTCGTTGCCAGCTTTCTTACTACCGGGAAATAAACAGAATAATATTACAGATCGGTTTATTAATTCTAATATTATTTCTTATATTAAATTGAAAAAAATTCTGAACGTTTCGCAACTATCTCGAATTAAAATTACAACGTACAAATTACGTTTATGATATTCTAATTCTCAAATGGCACGTCCCATTCCACGTTCATTCTCACGTTTTTCTGGTTTTAGCGAGAGGCAGAAACCTGCCCCAGTTGCTCTTACTTAGCCTGTTTATCTTGATACTTGTTAGTCTATCCAGACACCAAGTGATTGATTGCTCTCAACTCACGTTCAGCGATTAAGAGGAATATACCAGAACTTACTTGTTACAGCAATTAGTAACACCCAACACGCGACAATGACAATGGTTTCGTCTGATAACATTGACTTTCGATTTTATTATCAGATATTTACTTTCGGTAACTACTCACGTATTGTTAGAAATGAAACAAAAAAAAAAAAAAAAGAGAGACATGGCGATCCTCGTAATTTGCGAATTTTTATTTATTTATATCAATGTGTGACGCCGTATAGTATGAATTAATCTTTCGAAATTTTCATTTCAATTTTAATTCATTTTCAATTTACCAGAAAAGATTTTTAATACTCAGAGAAAGTCCATAACGTAAAATTCAAACGAGAAATCAATCACTTTGCCTGATTTCTTGAAAATTTTTTCTAAAATTCCGTTGAAACTGAATAGGATTAAATATCGTAACGTCTGACATAATTCTGATTGGAATTCCAACGTAACTTTTTAGTAACGAAAGAGTACGTTTGCTTTCGAAACCAACGGTGCCTGATAAATACCATTTCTTAAAACAAAGTGAAGAAAAAAGCAAGGCAGTAAATAAGCTAGCTGATAAACGGCCAGAGGTTCATTTATGATAACGATGCTACCATAACTTCTATCCAACATTGTTCATCGTATTATAATTTCAAATTCGATGCAATCGCTATTTTTTAGTGGTAATTATTTAGAAAATACAATCTCGGATCTACGTTCTCTAATAAAATTCAAAGAAATTTTCTGTCAATAAATACAATGGTAGTATTGATGCTGAGCAAACATTATCATTTTTTTTAAATTAAATTATTACATTACTCACTAGAAAACTAAAATATTTCTTCAATTTCTTTATTTAAATCGAAACACACATCGGCTCGAATATGGAACATAATCAAATGGTATCAAAATAATTTTCCATCTTGTTCTTTTTCATAAAACGAGAATATAAAGAATTCATGTGCTTTTACATTATTTATTTATTTATTTATTATTGCGTTTATGACGTATCGATTAGATTTCTTTCGACATAAATTATATTCGAAGGTTTAAAGAGAAAGGTAACAAAGAAACGCGGCGAAAAAGAGCTTGAAACAGCGCAGCCGAGCACCGAGATGGCACAAGAGATTTCAATTTAAATTCGAGATCGTCGAACGAGTTATTACGCGAGGACGCTGAAATGAAAACCACGACGAGTTATACTTTCTCGAAGACTCGGGGGAGATTGTCTCACAGCCTCTGGCACGACGTTGACGCGGAGAAGAGAGTCTGAAACAATGGCCTCGGCTAATTATCGCGATCTTAATTGCATCGGACTCTCTTTCTCTCTTTCTTGAACAAAGCTGATAATTAATCGCCATGAATACGCGTTAGATTCCCTTGCAAATAATTACAGAACTACCGATGATTAAACGTGCGATTCGGGAATTGACTGACCCCGTAATTGATGCAAACTTTATGAATATGTCGACATCTATTATCATTGTAAACGATGTTTTATTTCGTAAATTGATCTCCACATAATTAACATTTTTTGAAATTTAATTAAATAGTTTCTGTGAAAAACATATTTATGGAAGTAAGATTTTTTTTTGAGGGTGGATGATGAATTTTAACGTACTTGGATGATATTAATAATTTTACCAAGAGTGGAGTTGATAAATTTTACTTCTAAGAGATTCATATCATTATACATGTTTTCTAACTAAATACTATAATATAACGAAAATATAGAAACATGACGTATAATTGACATGTAACAAATATCAAATTTTATTTAGAGTCATCCATCGAACGATCCACGACCGCGTCTCTCAGCCTCCCAACAGGCCCAGATATTGAGCGATGTTCAACAACACCAACAACGTTTCCGTCGACCCCAAGACGTATCCAACCCTCGAGGCTCCTTTGACCAAATTGCCTCCAAGCCGCAAACTAGCGCGTCTTACTCGTCACTGGCCAAATATAAAGTTGATCGTGCGAAACAGCAACAACTTCAGCAGCTGTACCAGCAGCAGCAGCAGGTTCAGCAATTGATACAAGAACAGCAGCAAAAAATCGCTCAACAACTCAGCAATCCAAACTACTTGAATACTCAGGCTCAATTCCAGTCTCAGCCAGCGAAGCAGCAGCAACAGTTCCCGCAACAATTCGGCAGCCAGTATCAAAATATCAACAGCCATTTTCAGAATCTTCAGCAAGACCTGTCGCAGCCCTTGTTCAGCGATCGACAAACGTTGCAGCTGCAGGAATATTTGGAGAAGCAACGCGAGTTGGAATTGTTGCAGAAACAGAGGCAACAGTTACTATTGGAACAGCAGGAGTTACGAAGACAGCAAGAACTTCTGAGGCTCCAACAGCTTCAGAAACTCACGTCGACGACTCCTCCACCACCTCCTGTCACTTCACCTAGTACCATTGCTGTCAGCACTACGGCATCTCCAGTTCTCGTGTCGTTGCCCACAAGAAAAATCACTCCATCTGAAACAGATCTGTTCTTGAAGGCGATAGCCACTCATCAGAAGAAGTACTCCACGACCACGCCAATCTCACCCACGACAACGACAACTCCAAGGATCACAACGACCAGCAAACCGACCATCGTCACGCCAGTCTCCTCCAAAGCTTATCAAGAAAAAGCAACAGTCACTTCTGCTATCCCCGAGAATTTATTGAGTTTGATACAAGAGCAACAGAATCAGTTTGCACAACAGGGTAAGCCGAAGCCTCAGATCAAGGTTATATATCAGACTGAGAAGCCAGGAACGTCGAGGAGTACCACGCCGAAGACCAGGTCTGCGTCCTTGGGGTCGGAAAGAGACGTTTTATTGAAACAGCTGAAGCTAGCTTTGGCCCAGTCTGTCGACGACGACATAAGAAACGTTAGCACAAGGGACATAGTACTTCCCAATGGGAAGAAAATCCAGTTCATCGATTCCTCGAGCAGCTTGACGTCTAATATTCCTGCCGATGGATCGATTTTAACTACGTCCACCTTGGCACTGACTACCTCGACGACGACTATCAAGCCTCCAAAGGCCATTCTTGAAGAATTGACCAAGGGCGTGCTCCCTCCTGGGGCAGATTTCGAAGTCATCAGACAGAAGAGCGATGGAAAGCTGGAGGAGATTGGAAAGGCACCGATTCAGAGTTTGCCAGCGAAAAAGGTGACGTTTGTAGTACTGGAGGAGCAACCTGATGGCAGTTACAAGGTGCAAGGGGTGAAAGGGAACACAGAGAAGGAAGGCAGCGAGGTTGAGTCTATCGTGGAGAAGATTAAGAAAGGAGAACTGAAGTTGCCACCGAGTTCCTCGAATCCGACCACTCTGTCTTCTCTTCAGAGTTTCCCGTCCAGTTTGGATCCAAATTCGATCTCAACGAGACAGGGTGTTGCGTCCACAACTTCTAGATCGACCGCACCGAGATCTACTTCTATTTCCTCGAGATATACGGAGAGGTACATGTAATAGGGTATTTTATTTTAATTTTATTTCATTTACGCCTGTAGTCTTAATTAAGATATATCTCTTTTCTAATTTAACAATCAGGAATCAGTCCATCAGATCATTGATATTGTTCATGCTCGATAAATAGGAACAATATCTTTCTTTTGCAGCAAACCAACGGAACATTTCCCTCACGTGACAGTTTCACCAAATTCCGTATCCACGACGGACAAGTACTTGTCCTCAGCGTCGAGTGTCACCAATCACGTGTTCAATTCACTCGGACCCGTGAGCACAAGCACCCCTAAGTTGACCTCCTCGGATCAGGATAATCGAGCAACATCGAAATATCCAAGTGTAACGAGAAATCACTTCATCCCAACGATGGCCCCGGTTAATGAAATCATCACGACAACACCTGCGTCGGTGCCGACAACTTTCTCGCATCAGTCGACCAATTCTTACATTCACCTCACCGTCAGGCCACCCGGTGAAACTTCGCCGACCCTCAAGACCACCACGAGACCATCGACCACCTTACATAACGACAATATAATCTACCAGGACAGTTTCGAAAGGTCCACCATCTCACCGACCATCGAATCACCTTCCACCAGAAGTCAAACACACGAAAGTCTGATCACGTTGCTTAGGAGGGAAGGATTGTTTGCCATGGCGAAATATTTAAGGCAATCGGGTTTGGACAACGTGCTGAACGAAACTGGTGAGCGAATGATCAAATCCCTTTTTTCTCCTTTTCCCTAGCAAAACTGAAATAAAAACGAGATGAAGGATTTTGAACTGGCTGTCTCATAAAGTTGAATTTCACAACGTAACCGGCGAGTGAATTATTAGCCTTCTCTTCTTATTGAAACAAGTTTGGAGTGAGATTGCAATAGAAACCTATGAGGAGGTTTTTTATAAACAACGAAGATTTATAATCTGTACAAATGTTTCGCTCCATCCCGGCGTCCAATTTAGTCATGCAATATTCATTAGAAAAATGTTCTCACGGATCACTCTCTTGAACGTTTCGACACCGCTGCCTCATCGCTAGAACAATAATGGTCGTTTTCTCGTTGTACGAACCTTCGAATTACAAAAGTCGGTTTAATTGCGGTCTTACGGCGTTACGTTAATTGATACGACCTATATATAAATCATCGATTCGGTCGAACGTTCGCAACCTCTTTTTGTATTTATATAATTTATAAATTCTATCACCGTATTTGTTGTCTTGCTGTTGTCCAATGACAAGTAATTAAAGTCTATTAAAGGAATGGATTGCGAATGGGAACAGTGTGATATTAAAGAATCCACGATCTCTCGATATCTTTCAAGTTTAATTAGTTCCATTTTCAACTTTACAACACTTATAAATTGCATTTTGTTAAATTGGCACAAGGATGAATTTTCAACATTCACTGTTGACTCGTTGATTCAATTCGTTACTATGGTCCATTGTGAATTGTTTAATACTTTAGTTGATGAAATAACGTTCAAACAGAATGTGATAAAATATGATAAACAAATAAAATAAATGAATTTTATATATATATAGCTACTTTTATCTTTTTCAAATATAGCTTTAGTTTCCAACGTGCAGAATTTTCTAACTCCCCTGAGCTACGTAATTACGAATTGAACAATTCCAGTTTACGACAGTTGATTGACAATCACCATTCTAATTACAAAAGTCCGCGTTCTCATTCTGTTAACGGTGAAAACGTTGAATTACACGGATGCATTGCGTAAGTAATAATCTAGAGACTCGGGCGATGTCCAGTCGCTTCTGAGGCAATTAAAAATGATTGTGAAAATTGGCGGCAGAGAAACGCGTCGGAGGAGATCGTGCAACGATCAGATCTAATTATCGACGCGTTAGCCAAACGGGAAAAACACCATACACTTCCGTCGATTAAAAATCAAAGAAGCGTAACGATGTCTCTCCGTGTCAAACGAGAGACCGGATGATAATTATCGTTGTGGTTGAGAAAGGTTCGTTTGTCTCTATCGTGACATCTCTGAAACCGGATCCAGAACAAACGCACCCCTTATGTATGTCGCAAAATCATGCGAAAACGGACCAATGTTAGCGTCAGATAGAGACGAATGTTTGAGATAGATCTAAAAAATAACAAGTCAGGTTGAAGAAAATAGTATGTAGTCGAATTTCTTTTGAACAGTCATCTATGTGTATTTCATTTGGAAATTTTGTTTGAACAATCATTTATACTTAACGAAGAAATTAACTGTCTTGTAATGTTCTACAGGTCCGTACACGATATTTGTCCCGACAGACAAGGCTTTCAGAACGTTGTTGGTACAACTTGGTGGTCCAGAGAAGGCAGAACAAAAATTCCGAGATAATCCACGACTTCTTAGCGGGGTACATTTACATTCATTGATTTATAGCTCCGATAATTAATATTAATTTCTCAAGATTCTTGAATTGAAGAAACAATTATAAAAGACATTGGCTTACAAACGGTAGTTTTTAATGAAACTGAAGAAGAATATACTCTTTCCTTTATTTTGCAATAATTAAATAAACTATGTCGATGATGTGTATAATTTAATGTGTATGATTGATTTTTAGCTTTTGCTGCACCATGTGATACCAGGAGCCTTCAGAATCAATTCGTTGCAAGATGAAATGACTGGCGTCAGTTTAGCTGGAACGCAATTAAGAGTGAATGAATACGCAATGCACGACCATGAATGGAACGATATCAAGGTATTAACGAACGATATCGTGAATCATCCTGTATATCTCTCGTTGCACTTGTAATTTCAAGTTACGTTGTCATTAATAGTTTCACTGACCTTCCAGTGAAGGAAGGTGAACAACCTATTTCCATCGATCCTCATTTTTGGATCAACGAGTTATACTCAACATTCCATATTCATTACTTTTCTCGATCGATCGTTGATCTAGTTTGTCGGCCTTCTAGAAAACGTTGGAAACATTCCATTCACTCGTTAATAATGCATAACATTATATACGTATTTAAAGATACAACATTGTTTGATCTTCTCTTAGAAAAATCCGAAATGTAATTAACAAAAACTGAAATAAATAATTTCTTTTTAATCGCAAGGTAATTTGGCTTTCTTTAAATTATATTGTAAAAATTATAAACATTATACGATTAATATTAATTTTCATCTAAGCGTTAACAACTCTGTTCCTTTTTTGTTTCTTTTTACAAGCAGGTGACAACGATAAATGGTGCAAAAGTGGCATCGACTAAACGAGACATCGAGATACCACAAGGCATCGCTCATGCCATTGATAGGGTGATGTTTCCCCTTCCGGTTGGCGATTTGGTGCAAACATTGCAAGCTGATCGCGAAAGAAGATTCACTACTTTCCTAAAGATGCTTTATACTTCAGGTCTTCAAGATACTTTAGCAGGTAAACTAGAGCAAATAAATGAGAAGAATAAATTTATGCTTATGAAAAATAAAGTTAAATCATGTTAAATTACTACCGGCTATTGAAATTAGATTGTACTTATATGTCAACCATGCCTGATTCTTTAAAATCTCACAAAATAACATGTAATTTATGAACTTTTTATTTGCATTTCTCATATCCGTGCTACATTAAACTCTCAGTGATAAAGAGGAGTTGATGAGAAATTGATGACGATTGAAATAACCGGTACACATTCGATAACATCGACTTAATGTCGTCTAATATCTTTCCTAAAATCGTAGTTTCTAATGTTTTGCTTGTAGGACTTTTTTTTATTCGCTAATGAATCCTTTCCATCGTTAAAGAGTTGACAAGCTGGTAATACTGAATATATTAATGTGATATATGTACAATAGTTATTTAATGTTAATAGTTATTTAATGATATACAACGAGATATACTTAATACAAGATTTTCGAAGATTTTTATTTAAGAATATAACAACACATAATTGATTAAATATCATCATAGTACAACAATTGTGTAATTTAATTTCCTATTTAAAATATCGTAAGATATCCCAAGTAAAATTCTTATGAAATATTTATTATTAATTAAATTATAATTAAATATTTATTAGTAAATTGTTGTATAGCATGAAAAGACTTTAATTACTAAATTATTAAATTATTTTAATGGAAATTTTCTTAATAATTCAGATTTCACAAAAATTATTATAGTTATATGTGGTAAAATGGTGGCTATGGTAAAATTATTAATTGTCGCTAACACGGAAATAATCTTTGCAGGACCCAAAACTTTCACCGTTTTCGCTCCAACAGACTCCGCTTTCGAATCATTTTCGAAAGACGGAGCACCGGTTTGGACAGAAGAAGATGGGCCAGAAGCTGCAAAAACGATTATCTCGAGACACGTAATTCCATCCACTCTGTACACGGCAGGTATGAGGTACTATTTGCAAAAAGATACTCTTCGTCCACAGTCGCCTATTCATATTCACAAAAATGGCGGTAAGTAAAAGAAGAAGATATTACATAAATTATCAAGTAATAAATTAAAAAAAGAAATGATACTAGAAGAGAAAATTAGAAAAATTAGAATTCTTTAAGGAATTAAAGTGTTGAATGGATTGAACGAAATTGAATTCTTGATTCTCTGTATAGAGTTACGTTCATTGAATATGATAAATATATATTAAGTGCGATAATTTCCCGAGCTGAAATAATTCGAAGAATTTTCTTCCTATAAAAATTATAGTGAATCGTGAAAAATCAGCGTCCTAATAACCTATTTGCTCATTAAGCAGTGACTCCCCCACCTCGTAATTAAACACTCCCTTTCGCGTAGTAACGTAACTTTCGAGCTATAGAACGAACGTAATTTCTTTTTATGCATTCGAGTTATTTTACCTATCTTGGTAAAAGAAAATGGTTCTTTTACTTTCGATATTTCATTTTGTTTTAATGGATTTGTAATTGTCTCCGTACGAATGATTCTATAATTAATAATTAGGAAAGAGTTTTGCAATAGAAAAGAAACAGTAAACTATGTTGTTCCAGGTCGAGTACGAGTGAACGAAGTACATGTCGTAACGCATAACATACCGGCAACAAATGGAGTTTTGCACGCAATTGACGGTATACTGTAACCAGTGCAACACTGGTCAAATCGTTGAAAAGTAATGAGTTTTATGAGAAAATGTGTTCGCAATGCACGAAAAATATTTATATATTTATTATTTCTTTGCGATTTGCTAGAAGAAAATATAATAATATTATTAAGTCAATACTACGTAATAATTTAACATAATTAATGAAAAATATAATAAACTAACAATCATTTTATGTTTAGAAACCTTTGACTTTTTTTCAGTGAAAACGGAAAAAAAAACTTTTTGACTCTTAGTTGCAGTAAATCGCAAAGAGTTAAAATATTTGTTTTAAAAAAAACTGCAATTATCTTTGGAAAAGGAGGAAAGATAAATCGACGAATATTATCAAGTTCAACATAAGGATAAATCGATACGATTTGCCATAAATGTTGCAAAACTGCATAAATATAACGGGGGTCTCTTTTAAAATATATTAATATAGAAAGATTAATTTATATAACATAGATGCGTGTTGATCGTTCGTTGCTACCTAAGGTACATAATACGTAAGTGTACCTAAGTACGAGAAATTAATTGTCGAATTGTATAGAATGGTAACATAATACCACGATTAGTATTATTGTAGTATGTATTACTTTATAAATAAATGTACAGTATGTTTTTTCATAATTATAATTTTCTTATGTTATTTTCATTATTTCACTGTATTATTTTTTCTCATTTACAGGCTATGAAAAGTAGAGATAAAAATTATACAATTACATTCATAACAAAAATTATTTTTTATTCTTTTTGAAGAATATTTATAAATAAAATGTATAATATTTTCATTTATAAATAAACATATATATATATATAACATTTACAATTATATTACGTTCTAAATCAAACAAATTTAATATTTAATAAAATTAATATAATCTTATACATCACTATAATTTTGTTTAATTTTAACAAAAATTCTGCCATTTTTTTTAATAATTCGCTTTATATTTTTTCATTTCCACCATTATATGATGAAAATTTGTTAATTGTGTACGAGCATTTGGCGGTAAGATCTTGTGAAATCTATGATAATATTGCACTAACTGTGTCATTGCACGCTGTACTAGTGCTGTACCAAGTACTAAACTAGGAAAAGATTTCAATACTTCGTGATTAATTTCTTCTAATGCACGTTTCCAATTATTTGTAAAAGATTGTACAAGAGCTAATGCTTTTCCCTCCTGTCGTTTCGATTCGTCAGTTTGACCTTTTTCGATCATTACTTCAGATTCTTTGACAAACTGTATTATACCTCCAAAATGTGGACTTAAAATTTCCTCGACGTACTCTGACGAACGTGCATTTAATTGATCGCGAAAACTTTCTGCTTCTTTTGAATTATCACGCGTTCTTTCCTAAAAAAAATATACTCACATATAATTATGTGATTATATTTTTGTAATATTAATTAAATATAATAAATTAATTTCTTTACCATCAATACACCAAGAACCAAATCATAATTATTGATGAGGAAAACTAATTGTTGGATCCTAGTGGAAAATGTAGCAGCCATTCTTAATAGGAAACATTGCACAGCTTCTCGTAATTCTGCTAATAATTGTGTGGCTCCTTCACAAGGAAATCCTTCAACTACACTGACCATTGCGGCACTAAATTCAGCATATCTTCGTGTAATCTATAAAATAAATTTTTAAACTATTTCTAGAAATGTAAGTTTCTAGAACATAACTTTAATAATATAAACTTACATAATGTGGTCCCGTTTCTTGAGTGAGCTTTAATGTATCACAATGCTTTATACTTTGAATGTTCAGTTGAAAAACATACTCAAATCTAAAAGTTTAAATAAAAGTATGTATATCTGAATTTCCATTTCAAGAGATCAAAAATTATAATTATTATTATGTTGACTTAAATACCTAGGCCAAATTACCGATGTCATGTTATCCCAATATTTATCTAAAGCTGGTACTGCTCTTTTATGACAAGTTAAATTGTATCGTAATATTAAATGTAAACAAAGAAATAAGGCAATGGTATCATAGCAATCTTCCACAAAAGACTGCAGATTTTTCACCATTAGATTTAATGTCTTTCCCATCACCTAATTTTTAAGTACATAATTTTATATGTTCAATTTTATTAATTTTACTAGAAATAATATGAAAAAGAATATAACCTGGTTAAAAATGTCCATTGCCTGCACACCACGTACTTTGAAAAATTCAGTTAGAAATAAATATTCTCTACAAGCATTATCTACAAGAGCGTATTGTTCACTCCTGAACAAAGCTTCATAATGATACTGTAAATATAAAGGAATTATTGTATTGATATTTATGTATTTAATCTTGTTTCAATATATTTTAATTTTCATATTCACTCTTGTTTTAGATGCAGTATGAGGTACTATAATGGGTGCTTCCAACTGAGAAGTTAATACATCTCCTCTATTACCTATAGAAAATACTGTACCCCTATGCTTCAATGTAGTTTTATGAAAAATACCTCTCCCTGCTGTGTCTTCAACTCCCATTAAATCATCTTTAGTCGCTCCTTCTTCAAACTGCGTAATTCAACAATTAAAAGGAGTATTTGCTTTTCGCTTTATTCAAAACTTCTTCTGATTATTTTACCTGCAGTTTCATTAATCTTGAAGAATATGACTTAAAGTACGAATAATATATTTTACTCATTGTGTTAATGTATTCTCCACAAATTTCTTCAGCTACATTCCTTTCATTTGCCAAAATAAATTCAAAGAAAAATTTATACTTCAGCATGTTATTCTGTGGCACTTGGTAATTTGTCATTGGCTTTCTGAACTTATAAATTTGCTCCAAAAGATATGTTCTGATCTTTGCTAGTGCTTTTACTTTTAGTTTTTCTAATATGTCTTTTACATCCAAACATGACTTTGCTTCCTTAAAACTCTGCTCTTTTACGAAATTTATCTTATGGTTTAATGTCTGCAGTTGAGTTAAAAATTCTTTTTCAGTCACAGGGCAATCCATAATTCCTCTAATAAATTGCAATTATAAAATTAGAAATTTCACATCAGTCAGTGAAGAACAGTCTTTGTAGTTTTAATGCTTACGCGATGAGAGCTTCAGACACTGTCATATCTTCAATAAATTGACTGAGAGGCCCCCTAATTATTTGCCTATTAGACAATTGTTGGCTCATTGAAACAGACTTACGTTGCAGATAAAGTATTTCCGAACTAATACTTCCTAAATCTAATTGGAAGCTCATCAGCATGGATTCCATTTTCTGTAAAATAATTTCCAAAATACACTTTAAATTTCATACTGTAAAAGTATTCAGCTTATTTTACTTTCAAGGCTGTAATGAAATTTTAGAAATTATATCAAATAGTAGAGGTATTGGTAATTCATGTATTAAAACCTAACCTCTAAAATGTTATCACACGCAGCGATTTGATTATGAAGACTCGCAATATTCTCGCTTTCTTTTATGTAATCCTGAATGGATTTATTCTCCACCTCTTTCAATTCTTTTTCAATTTGTCTGGAATATTGACGTAAATCTGTACCAGTCTTCAGAACCTCTTGGACAACGTCATCTCCAAGATCTTGAGACAGTTGCGCCTCGTTATCGTCAAAGATATCAATTTCACCCGACATTTTATAAATTTCTAATCTTTTTCAATTAATTTAAATTTGTATATATTATACAGCGATAAGTATCATTCCTTACACATTCTCATAAACTGTCACTGGACGCGTAAGATGTATTAGATGAAACTGGGCCACAGATAAAATATGAGATAGATGTATCACTACAGATAAATATTTACATGCGATAAGTAAGTTTCGTTTACATAAATTTCATCTATTTATTAATCGTTCTTTTTAAAGAATGTCTCATGAATTTTGTGTGTTTGATTTACACCAGAGTTTTTTTATTTTTTATTCCAAATTATCATTTCGCGCGAAATGCGCGATTACAACGCCCCAACGGTGAAGTATACATCCTATGATTCTCGAACGAAATCGATATTTCTCGATCTTTAAGCGGGAGGAATGGCGGAAGGAAGCACATCTTTACATCGTTTGTAAAGGAGAAAGTGTTATCTACAAATATCATCCAGAAAGAAGTATACCCAAAAGTTCTCAGGTAAAAATATAAATCAATAGTTGTTAGATTTGTGTTTATATTGTAAGTTTTTACGACCAAACGTGCATTTTGGCTTCAACTCAAGGTAAGATTTAACCAAATAATTATTACATATAATTTTCAACAATTAAAGAAACAATAGCATGTAAATATTTAAACAGAACATACTGTGCTAAAAGTTATTTATAATTTCGTACCAAAGTTTAATTTCAATTCTATTACAAATATTGTGACCTTGTAATATGACTACCTTTTTTAATGTATATGTACATAATCTGTATTTATTTGACATTTTTTTTTTTCATCAAGCGTGTGAATATTTTCGTTCTTTTTTAAGTATTTCTCATGAATTTTGTGTACTTGATTTAGGACAGAATTTTTTATTTTTTATTTTTTTTTCAGTTAACGGTTCGTGCGATTGCAGCGCCCCAGCGGTGAAATATGCAACATACTGCCTACAATTTTCGAGCGTAATCGATATTTCTCGATCTTTAAGCGGGAGGAATGGCAGAAGAAAGCACGCTTCATCTGTAAAGAACAGAGTGATCCAGAGGAATTATGCAGAAAGAAGTATCATCCAAAAGTTCTCAGGTAAAAATGTAAATCAGTAGTTGTTAGATTTGTGTTTGTGTTTTGAATTTTTAAGATAAGGGTGCATTTTTGACACCAACTCAAGGTTGGTGACAACCAAATAATTATTGCTTGTAATTTTCAACAATTAAAGAAATAATCGCATATAAACATATAAACAGAACATGCTATGCTGAAAGTTATTTAGAATTTTATACCAAAATTTAATTTACCAGTACAAATATTGTAACCTTGTAATTAACTAACCTATTGTTACATACACACATACACACACACACACACACACACACATATATATATATATATATATATATATATATATATATATTTTATTGTATGTTTTTACACACTTCTATTATAATATTTTCTATTTATGTGTTGATTCTTTAACTTCATACTGCATAATACTTAGCAATTCTAATACTAAATTCAATAATAGTTTACTAAGAATGTACGTATTTAATAGTTAAAATAATAATTTTATTCCATTGTTGAATTTCAGAAAATTTTTGTGACCGCGCGCAATGCGGTTGGTAGAGTCAGTGTTTGTTGCGAAATATTTTTATATTTTTCTGAGCAAAATGGCTCTTATTAAATTAAGTAGTCAATTCATTAAAATTGTAATTCGCGAAGTTAGAGTCAGTGAGTGATTGTTGCTTGAACGCGCGCGTTGATAGTCTTTTATTTTTCCTTTTTTTTTTTGTATTTTCTTTTGTTCAATATTCGTTTTCGCTGTTAGAGTCAGTGCTCAAGAGGATGAGGCCTTTCCTGGAGATCAAGATTGTGAGTAGTTTTATACATTGTATCTCAATTTATTCAATTTTTCAAATATAAGAACAAAGTATAATGTTTGATGTTTGTTACAGACGTTTCACAGCATCAATTTTTTTGCATTTTTTGGGGAAAATCCAACGGTGACTCTAAAGTCAAGAATGTAAGAACCTTTTATTATCTCCAATTTAAGATTTTGCTTCGCTTTTAAATATAAATTCTAATGTTTAATGTTTTGTTACAGATCTTTTACAGTCTCCACTTCCCCTAATTTTGCAAGAATCTTATGATGCTTCAGAAGCTAAAAACGTAAGTACTTTAGCATATTGTATTCAAATTTTATTCTCTATAGTTCTCTTTCTATTGTTGAATGTATGTTATACTTATAAATTACTACAGTTGAATGTAAAATTATAATTATAAAATAAAAACATTTCATATTCCAATTTTTATCATTATTAAAATTTAAATGTTCACAAATAACACTGTGTATTTAAAAAGAAAATGTTTTATGTTTTTTTAGAAATTTTTCACGGTGTTTACTTTCATCATGAGATTCTGAGTGGTATCTGCTTGATGCAAATCTTCACGACGACTTTCCTTGATCCAGTGCAGATGATATCGTTCTTCGATAGTGAGTCGCATGCGTTTTTGTTCCTCTGGTCGCTCAATCATGTCGTAGGATGAAAGGTCCGAATCGGCACGGGTGACTGGTTGTATACGTAGAATTTTAGATGAGCATAGTGACCACGGATATTTTTTATATCCGTGAGTAGTTACATTTTTTTCAGGTTTCTTTATGTATTAGATCAGGATAGGGCTTCTTGCACATCGCGATTTAGAACAATTAGTTTGAATATATACAGTTATAGCAATTACTTCTAAAATCAAAATATCTTCAATATAAATGTTTGCAAAAATAAAATATGTATATAAATATCCATATGAATAGATAAATTACAAATATCTATTATTATAATGATTTCGTTTGAGCATTTTATAGTAGAGAAGACGGATATCCTCCGACTTCGTTGCTATGAAAGATGCAATTATTTCTTATTGATATACTGGTTATATATTTCGTTATAATAATTAATAATTAATAATTGCTATAATAATTAATAATTTTTAGTTTTGTCTTCCCTTTTATAATAGTATTAAATGATTTAATTAATTAAATTTTATAATTATGAATTTCAATACAATTTGAAATATATAATAGATTAGAATTCTTTCCGTAGAAAAATATAAAAAAATTTTATGTGCAAGAAGATACTTCGCGACAGATCGATTTTTGAATCAAGGTAACAAGTTTGAACATTGCTTTCGTATTTTCGAAAATGTTCCTTGATGAAGAAATCGTCTGAGATTGTATCTATTGAGAGTCAATTGTTTGATTCTGATTATTTTAGTCAATTGTTAGATATCACATATTTTTTAATAAATTCAATTCTTTGTCTTTATTCTTTTGCAGTCATTTCTTTCAATAATTTCTGAAAAGAATAGAGTTATTACAGTTTGAAATAAAATAATGCAATAGTCCGTCAGATACAAGTTACATAAACTAATCATTTTTTTAGTCCAGGATTTTCAGGTTTAACCCCTTCCGTGTTCACTGTCAGGATCTCACTCACGTGCCCAGGTGCTACTTGAGTGGGTGAAAGACATTGGGCACGATGACCATAGTTTGTAATTTTATAAAAAATTTCTCAGCGACTGACAGTGAATTAGCGTATCGTGCACGACGTATTTTCCACATGTGTGTGTATGTGTGGTTAGGATGTGGAATTGCGTCGTTTATGTTGTTCCATTCATTACAATTATTTAAAATATTTATGCACTAATTTGAAGTATGAATTTATTATAACAATACCTAAATACACTGCAATTATATTGATAATCATACAATCAATTGTAATAATGATTCCATGTCAACTTGCACATGAAAATTTCTATGAAAAGTACATGTATTTTTCTTTCAATTATTAATATCTCAGATATAGCTGTAAATGTTTTAATCACGTTTTACGCAATGTTCGCTAGCCATTGTCAGTCGATTTCAGGAAAATGGTACGTAAATTAGAGTGTGAAAGTTGTATGTTAAGCTCGGGTGTCGGAGGTGTCCCGGGACGTCCTCTCTAGTTTAGGTCTGCGCTCGAGTGGTATGTGTGAGAACCGTGGAGCGAATGTGTTGGTGTGCCTGTTTTGCCATTTTTTTAAATATAGAGCGACTTTTTAGGATAGGTAGCTTACTTTCTGGTATGCCTGTGTTTAATTATAAGTAGGTAGGGCCGGGCAGGTTGGCACAGTCTCTGGTCGCGT